AAGATGTGCAGGTGAGGTGGATAGGCCATGCTGAATTGCCCATAGTGTCCAGGGATGTGCATGCCAGGTGGGTTAGCCATGGGAAATGGGGGTTGCAGGGATAAGATGGGGTTGTGGGTCTAGTTGGAATGTTCTTCCAAAGGTTGGTGCATACATGATGGGCCACATGGCCTCTTTTGGAGCTGTAGAGATTCAATGTTACCATGATTCTATGCTGGAGTTGTTCCTACTGGAGTTTAGAAGACTGTGTGGTGACTTGGTTGCAGTGTACAAGATCCTGAATGATCTTGACAAGGTGGACACGGAGTGGATGTTTCCTCTAGTGGACCACTTCAGACAAAGGGGCATCATTGCACTGTTTTAAAATTTGGGATAACCCTTTCAGCGCAGAATTACTTTTTTTTTTATCTCTCAGAAGTTTGTGCAACTTTGGAAATCTCTGCCACAGATATCTGTGGAGGTGTGGGGTCATTGAATATTTATAAGACAGAGGTGGATAATTTTTCATTAGGCAGGACAATAAAGAGTTATCGGGTTTAGATCAGAATGTGTATTTTGAAGTACTGAGAGATCATCTTATTAAATGGTGGGACAGACACAAGGGGCTGAATGATCCACATGTGCTCCAATTTCTTATGTTCATACATTTGTATATTGTCCCACCAATTCCATTACAAAGGTTTTAGCCTTCCTTCACCAAGTCCTGTTTTAAATTACAACCAAAGAATGAAAAAGTATGAAATACTTGACATTGAAGCTGATATGTAACACATTTGCCAAATTTGACTGCTCACAGTGAATAAAATTTAATGCATTTGTCACCTTATCATTCTCTTACATAATTGAAAAATCAATCTCAAACACAAACAAGACAGAATCTAGCCAAACACATTGACACCCCAAACATAATAAAAACCAAAAGAACTGCAGACGTTGTAAATCGGGAACAAAAACAGAAATTGCTGGAAAAGCTCAGCAGGTCTGGCTGTATCTGTGAGGAAAAATCAGAGTTAACGTTTTGGATCCAGTTCTGAGGAAGGGTCACCGGACCCGAAACATTAATTCTGATTTTTCTTCACAGATGCTGCCAGACCTGCTGAGCTTTACAAATAACTTCTGTTTTTGACACCTCAAACATGTCTTTCCATTGCAAGTATGTGTCTTTAGAAGCTTCACAGGAATGCAACTTGTTCAAAAAAAAATTAACATCAAGTTGAATTCTTATTAAAGCAATGAGCGGTTCAATTGGTTGAAGCGGAGAGAGAATGATAAATAGGGTTTGGGAATGAAATTCCAGAGTTTCTGGGCTTGGAGGTCGCACTGTTACTGGTGGAATGAAGGCAGTCTGTATGCACAACAGTCCTGAATTATTGGAGGTATGCAGAGCAGGAGGAGATGATTGAGGGGTGGGGGTGCAGCGGGGGAGAGGTGAATTTCCACAGAGGCAGGGAACCTCTTTGTCAGTGCAAAAATGCCACGGAGAATTTGGAACTCTCACCTCCAAATGTCACACCTGCCATTCCCATAGGGGTGACAAGAGGTGGGGAGGAGGTTATGTTGGTGCTAATTGGCATGTCTATCTGCCTCAGGTTGATCTGGTTTCCACCAGTTGCATGTCCAAAATAAAAAGTGCCTGTGTACTTTAGATCTGGTAGGAGAATGTATTCTAGATGACTTGGCATCGTAGGTAAGGATAGGGCACATGGGTTGGTAAGAGTTGACACCAAGTGGAACCAAAAACAACATTGGTCAGTTGTCCTGAACCTTCTAGAACAAAAATTGGAAACTGAAAGGCTAGACATCATTAGGGTTGCCAACAGCAGTCAGATACATTCATTAGGATTTTTATAAAACAATACAATAGCCTTTTATTGTCATGTATACTCTATTGTAGGATAAACTTTTATATTCTGCTCACCTTCTGCTCAATCAATTTCCTTTCTCCATCTCAAAGCTATTTACAATGAATAAAACAACGAATTAACCATTTGTTTTCTTGTTCTTATGAGCTTTCTCTTAGGTTGCTCACCAGAGTGCCCAAATAAATCTTTAATTCCCAGACACACCAAAGAAATTCTGGAACATTGGCAACCCGGCCTCAAATTCCATCTATTATTTCCGAGCATTTCTTGCAGCCTATTTGCTTTTTTTTTCAAATAGGGTCCCAACTTTTTGAAACAATTATCTTTCAAAACCAGAACCAAAAACTGGAAATATAAATTTCGGATAATTCTGATTAAAACTGAAAGAAGATCAAAATTAGCAACTGAAGGTCAGACTAAAGCCAAGTGTAAATTTACATCAAAAACTGTGTGAATGTAATACTTCAAAACCCCACACCATGGACTTTGTAAGCCAATGGCTTGTAAGCTATTGGTGGCTAGGTCGCTAGCGCTGCTGCCTCACAGTGCCAGGACCCTGAGTTCAATTCCACCCTTGGGCGACTATCTGTGAAGAGTTTGCACATTCTCCCGTGTCAGAGATAACACAGTGTAGAGCTGGATGAACACAGCAGGCCAAGCAGCATCAGAGGAGCAGGAAAGCTGACGTTTCAGGTCTGGACCCTTCCCCCGTGTCTGCGTCGGTTTTCTCCCACAGTCCAAAGATGTGCAGGCTAGGTGGATTGGCCATGGGAAATTTGGGGTTACAGGGATGGGGTGGATGTAGCTGGGATGTTCTTCGGAGGGTTGGTGCGGGCTCAATGGGCTGAATGACCTGCTTTCACACTGTAAGAATTCCGTGATGAATGGAGACAACATACTGTGGAGCTGGAGGAACACAGCAGGCTAGGCAGCATCAGGGGAGTAGTAAAGTTAACGTTTCGGGTCGGGACCCTTCTTCAGAAATGGGGAGGAGAAAGGAGCTGGGAAATAAATAGAGAGAGAAGGGGTGGGCCTGGGGAAAGTAGGTGGAATGGTGATAGGTGAGTGCAGGTGGGCAGTGGTGGGGACTGGTCAGTGGGATCGGTGGGGCTGATAGGTGGGAGAGAAGATGGACAGGTTGTGTCAGGTCAAGGTGGCAGGGTTGAGAGGGAGGGATGGACATGGGATGAGGCCGGGGATGGGGAGATTTTGAAACTGGTAAAATCCATGTTTAGGCCATTGGGCTGTAGGCTCCCGAGGCAGAAAATGAAGTGCTGCTCCTCCAGTTTGTGGGTGGTGTCATTGTGACACTGGAGGAGGCCGAGGATGGACATGTCATCCAGGGACTGGGAGGGGGAGTTAAAATGGTTGGAAGGTGTTGTCGTTTGTCGTGTGCAGAGCACAGATGCTCTACAAAACGGTCTCCGAGACTCCGCTTCGTCTCACCGGTGTAGAGGAGGCCACATCGGGAGCAGCGGATACTGTAAACCAAGTTGATGGATGTGCAGGTGAACCTCTGTCTAATGTGGAAGGTTTGTTTTGTACCTTGAATGGAAGTGAGGGTGGAGGTGTAGGGGAGGTGTAGCACCTCCTGCGGTTGCAGGGAAAGGTGCTGGGGGTGTTGGGGCTAGTGGGGAGTGTGGAGCCGATGAGGGAGTCGCGGCGAGAGCAGTCCCTACAAAAGGCAGATAGGAGTGGGGAGGGAAATATATCTTTGGTTGTGGGGTCGGACTGTAGGTGGCGGAAATGGCAGAGAATGATATGTTGGATACGGAGGTTGGTGGGGTGATATGTGAGGACAAGGGGGATTCTGTCTTTACTATTGTTGGGGGAGGGGATGTGAGGACAGAGGTGCAGGAAATGCAAACAATGCGGTTGAGGGCATTTTTGACCACCGCAGGGGTGGTGGAGTTGAGGTCCTTTCCTTTCCCTGCAACCACAGGAAGTGCTACACCTGCCCCTACACCTCCCCGCTAACCTCCATTCAAGGTCCAAAACAAACCTTTCATATCAAATAGGGGTTCACCTGCATATCCGTCAACTTGGTCTACTGTATCCGCTGTTCCCGATGTGGCCTCCTCTACATCGGTGAGACCAAGCATAGACTCGGAGACTGTTTTGTAGAGCATCTGCGTTCTGCATGCGACTAACGACAACAACTTCCGGTCACCAACCATTATAAATCCGCCTCCCACTCCCTGGGTGACATGTCCATCCTGGTCGTCCTCGAGTGTCACAATGACACCACCCACAAACCGGAGGACCAGCACCTCATATTCCGCCTTGGGAGCCTACAGTCCAATGGCTTTAACATAGAATTCACCAGTTTTAAAGTCTCCCCACCCCCAGCCTCATCCCATGTCCAACCCTCCCTCTCGTCCCTGCCTCTTTGACCTGACACAACTTGTCCATCTTCTCTCCCACCTATCTTCCCCACTCTTCCCACTGATCAATCTCCACCATTCCCTATCTGCACTCATCTATCACCATCCCACCTACCTTCCCCAGCCCCACTCCTCTGCTCTCTATTTATTTCAGAGCTCCCTTCCCCCTTCCTATTTCTGAAGAAGGGTCCCTACCCGAAATATCAACTTTCTTGCTCCTCTGATACTGCCGGGCCTGCTGTGTTCCTCCAGCTCCACACTGTGCTATCTCTGACTCCAGCATCTGGAGTTCTTGCTATCTTTATGATGAGTGGAGTTTGGCCAGCAAATGAGGCTAGATTCTGTCAACAGACACAGAAATTGTGAGCAGTGCATCAAAGATACCCAATGAGCTGCTTTTTACAAACCATAACTTACCAAGACAGAAGGTGCTAGGCAATAAACCGAATGGGCTTAAAGTTGAATGCCCGGGGATCGGAACAAATATAAATCAGCAGACAACGTGCTATTTGCTCTTGATTTTTCAATTTGTCTCACAGAGTGGACAAGAGTTCCTGTCACCCATCCCAGTTTTCCCATATAAAATCTTTGCTTAGGCTAGACTCATTTAGATCAGAGTATGCTTGTACCTGTGCAGTGCTGGAAACCAACAAAAGATACAGCAAAACAATGTGTGTCAATAGGATGACTAGGAAGAGGAAGCTTTGATTACAGGAATAAAGCTTCTCAGAGAAATGTTAGCAAGGTTACTTACCACTCAAAGTCAGAGTCTGTGCAGATACAAGGCACTGATGTTACTGCCCGACTGTACTTCTTTCCCAGAGTGCACTGAGTTGCTGGCTGACGTCGCTGGTATATTCGCATTTCCCCCATAATACAAGGCTCGCCCTTTAAAGAAATCACATCTGTAAGGAACTTGGAGTCAAGTTAGCTGATGGTCTTATAAGTATGATCAATCATTTTGACATCTAATCATAGTCTTATGATCTACCTCCAAGTAGCACAGGCCTGGATGGTACAGAAAGCAAAGGAGCAGAGAATTGGTGCGTTGAATTTGACAAGGGACATGTTGTTCACCTCCCTGTTAGTAAAGTCAGTTATTGACATTAAAATCTAAAGACGGCCCTCGAGCGGTGAGATGCTGCAGGTGGCCTTCTGCCCATCAAAGGGAAGACTACCTCTCCACGTGAGCTGCCGGCCAATCTGATTGGCCAGCAGTTCCTGCAATCCCAGCAGCGCTGGAACAAGCTGCCCTACCGAGAAGATGGAATGGATTCCAGAGTAAGGCAGGGCTGGGAGTTTTGGATTGGGAGAGTTCCAGGACCCTAGGAGAGGGCAGGAGGGTGGGGTTGGAGCAAGAGCAAATATTCAAGTTTTGGCAGTGGGGTGGAGGCATTATTTTCTGGGGAGGGGAGCAGAGAGCACACTGCGAAAGGAGTTAAATGTTTTCTCGCTGAAGGTCATTGAAAAGTGGCCTGCATACTCTGGCTTACATTCCAACACCAACTGTATTATGGTGGCAGAGGCAGCAGTGGACCTTTAAGTACCATTAACAGGGTCATTACAGGCCACAATAGGCCTATGGGAAAGCAGGTTAGTCACTGCTGTACGATAGGGAATATGTCAGGAGGATGCAGGATTGTGCGTTAGCCACCTGACTCATTGTTTATGACTCCCCCATCAAACTAGGAGCAGCCATGGTGAGGGAGGGACATTGCTTAACATTTACCTTCATACGACTGGACTAGTAACCCACAGCCCTGACTTAGCAATCATTACACCAGTGTTCCAAACCCATGACAGCAACCAGAGAATTTAAATTCTGTTAATTAAATCATTCTGGAATAAAAACCCTCATCTCAGCAATGGTAAACATCAAACTACTAGAGAGTCATAAAAACCTGTCGCTAATGTCCTTTAGGAAAAGAAATCTGCCATCCTTACCTGGTTTGACTTACATGTGACTCCAGGCCCATAGCAATGTGATTGACTCTGAACTGTATTCTGGAAAGGCCCGAAAAGCTATTCTAGAACTGAAAACAAAATATGCTGGAAATCACAGCGAGTCAGGCAGCATCTATGGATTTCCAGGATTTTATGTTTTCATTACAGATTCCAGCATCTGCAGTAATTTGCTCCTAAACTATTCTAGATGGAGACTTGCATCACCTTCTCATGCACAATTAGATGTGGGTATTATTTATACACCTTGTAAGTTACAGCCACATCTAATGAATGAATAAAGAAAAGTGCAAAATGTGAAACGTGCAGAAGTTAGAGATCAAGGAAAAGTACATTTTCCTCTTACAGTTCCACAGAAGGGAGATGATTCAGGATCATCTTCCAGTGTTAAAAAGGCACTGGATCCAACTGTACACAAAAATGTATTGACAGGAATTTTGTTCCAAGAGAGAAGGAGGAATATTAAAGAAAATAATTCTTTCTCTTTCTGATCTATGTTACTTTTTTTATTTAGAAGCAAAGTTGCTTAGAGTTAGCAGGTAATGAAGAGGGAATCTTGATGAAACAGCCCTGCAAATTTCCTGGAAGAATATTCCCTACATGAAGTTCAGCTTAAAAGTGATTAGATAATATGGAATCAGTGGCTGTCTTTTTCATTCATTCATGGGATGTAGGAATTGCTAGCCAGCATTAATTGCCTATCCGAAACTGTCCCTGTGAAGATCTTTGCAGTCCTTTGTGGGTTTGGTGGGGGGGTGGGAATAACCACAGTACCGTTAGGGACCGAGTTCTAGGATTTTGACCCAGCGACATGAAAGAACACCAATATATTTCTAAGTCAGTTGTGAGGCACTGTATCAAATGCCTTCTGGAATTCCACGTACACCACATCAACAGCAATACCCTCATACAAGCTTTATGTTAACTCTTCAAGAAACTCCAGAAAGGTAGTGAAAAATGATTTGCCCTTTGGAAATTCATGGTGGGTCTTCTTAATCAATGTACCTTTTTTTTCCATGTGACATCTAATTCAATCCCGAATAATTGTATCCGTAAGTGCCCTCTCCTCGAGATGTTAAACAGAACAGACCACAGTCAGCTCAGCCATGATCTTATCAAATGACAAAACAGCCTTAAAGAGCCAAACTCCTGTTTCTAATTTGAATGTTCATATGTAATTCTGCCCTCCTTACCTAGTCTGGCCCACACAGCAACTTTGTTAACTCTTCACTGCATTCAAGAGCACTTAGGGATGGCAATAAATGCTGGCTTTGTCAGCAACAGCCTGAGTAAAACAAAACCCTGAGTAAAATGCAGCCAGTGTCAAAAAATCCTTTTGTGGGAGTTTGTCGATAACAGCACAGTGTGAATCAGAGAGCTCCAATTTGGGATCTCACACCTTAACACCAAACCAATCAGAATCACCTTTCAAGTTAAAAGGCAACAACAAAGTGCACTGTAAGCACTAAAATAAAACCTACTGCGGGTGCTGGAAATCTGAAACAAAAACAGAAATTGCTGGAGAAACTGAGCAGATCTGGCAGCATCTGTGGAGAGGGAAATGTTTCGGGTCCAGTGACCCTTCTTCAGAACTTTAGTACTTTAAGCAAGCTGGCTGTGGTGAAATATTGTCATGTATCTGACTTAGCCATCCCCAGGATAATAATCCACTCGCACTGAGTTACAGAGTGAAGAGACTTGGGTTAAGCTCCATCCATTCCCCTCTCCCCTCACCCTTAATGTGACTTGCCATTGATCTCGGCCATAGGGATTATGGGGAGATCAGGGAGGGAGGCAAAACCAGAGGAAGAGCCAAGCCAGCCCTGGTCTCACATCAATGGGCAAAAGATGAAAGGACATCTGCTAAGAGGGGTATAGAATGTCACCACCTGCTGACCACTCAGCCTGGCTGATGGGGAGAGGAGAGATGTAAAGTGCGGGGAGGGAGGGAGGAGTAGCAAGGGGGATGAAGATTAAGGAGAAAAACAATAACTAGCAGGAAAATACATGGCAGCATTTTTTTTTATTCATTAACAGGATGAGAACATCGCTAGCTATATAGCATTTGTTGCCCATTTCTAATTGCCCAGAGGGCAGTTCAGAGTCAACCACATTGCTGTGGGTCTGGAGTCACATGTAGGCTAGACCAGGTAAGGGTGGCAGTTTCCTTCCCTAAAGGACGTTAGTGAACCAGATGGGTTTTTCCTGACAATTGACAGTGGATTCATGATCATCATTAGATTCTTAACTCCAGATATTTTTATTGAATTCAAATTCCACCATCTGCCATGGCAGGATTTGAACCCAAGTCCTCAGAACATTATCTAGGTCTCTGGGTTAACAGTGCAGCAGTAATACCACGAGGCCATCACCTCCCCAGTTGCCCAACCTGAGATGAATTAACAAGACTTTTTAGAACTAAATTAACTAAGCATTTTTTTGAAGAAAGCTTTCGAGTAAAACATAATGGAATAATTTCCCCGACGCATCTGCTCAACCTTCTAACAGCCCAATTACAGATGAAGAAATGCCAGAGAATGAGCTGGTAAATAGCTCATTAGGAGTGTGTACAGATGAAGAAGGAACCTGCCAGCTAATTAAGGATGAAGCCACATGTCTCGTTTGGTGTTTTGGAGATGAGAATCGCTGCCTGGTCTTCTAAAACCTGTCCCCAAAGTAAAATTGAAGATCTGGGTTTATGATTCGGCCTCTGTGATAACAGGATCAGTTTTAGTCATGTAAATGCCAACAGCTGGATGCCTGGCAGCCAGAACCCAAACTAAATGGTGCCAGTGTCAGAACCATTTAATCAACCAGCTGGAGTTTTGCTGCTGGGGGCACCATGGCTGAGATTTGTAAACCATCTCCTTCAAAACCTTCATTTTCCCTTGGCCTGAGGAAGCAAGGTTAGTGGAGGTAGGGAGAGGTCTTGTGGTGAAGTGGTATTGTCCCTGCCTGTAGGCCAGAAAGCCTGGGTTCAAGTCCCATCTCCCCCAGACATGTGTCATGTTATGTCCAAACAGGTCAATTAATATATAAGAACTAGGAGCAGGAAGAGGCCATTCAGCCCCCTTGAGCCTGCTCCACCATTTGATATGATCTTGGCCTCAATTCTACTTTTCTGCCCACTCTCCATAACCCTTCCACCCCATTACTAATTAAAAATCTATCTCCTCCTTAAATTTACTCAATGCCCCTGCATTCTCCACAATGTAGGAGAGTGAATTCAGGACAGAAATGAGGATAAATGTTCTGAGGGTTCCATGACTTTGGACTTCTCTGTCTCAGAAGAGTCTGCAGATGGTGATCATTGAAACTTTCTAAAGTAAAGGTAGGTACAATCTTGTTAGGTGGGGGAGTCAAGACTTATCAGGGGTGGGTGGGAATGTGGAATCTGAAAAATGAATAGATCATCCAGAATCTAATGGAATGGGGGAGTAGTGAGGGGCTGAATGGCCCACTTTGGCCCATAACTGGAAGTAACTGGAAGGGCTGCCTATCTTGCATAGTCCACCAGAGTGAGGAGATCATTTCTGACTCAGAGCCCCATGTTAATCTCACCCTTAACAGGCAGCAACAAAATGAAATATTGAGATGCAGTATCAGAACACGTCATGTGCTTTGACGATAGGCTCAGTAGTGTCTATCTATTTTAACAAGCAGTAGGCCTGTCAGCAAGTTAAGCTGTTATCATGAATGAAACAGAAATATTCACTTGATTCAGGTTCAGATCTGTGTATGTTGAAGGCTACTACAAGAGGCTTGCTTTAGTGGGCTGTCAATTTTAATTCAAGCTGATGTACTGACTGGATGTCTTCTCTGCCTTGTCTCAATGAAACTTCTATTGTTTTATCCAATTGTGCTTGGACTGGGATCTATCTTTAGGGTTGGGCTGCAAACATCATCATTGCACTAGTGCCAGCTAAATCCTCTACACTGTGTACCAAATGTCACTGTTCAAGAGGATACCAATGAGGCCAGGATGTGTGCTGTCAATTGGAAATTAATTAGTTTCAGCTCTAGGCAAAAGGTGTCCTGTGTAGCCTAATGTGCCCATTCAGATGAGACCATTAAAGTAACTGGGACAACTGAATACAATGAGACCATGTTGGAGAGACTGGGCCAATGGAGGAGAGTGGTCTAAAAAGTTGTTACGTTTTCTAAATGCTGTGTGTTGAGAGGACTGTTTGTTTCTAAAGGGTTGTAAGCTGAATGATGTCTGCTTTCTTTCCAGGGTTTTCAAGCAATACAAAATGATGAGATAACAAGGTGTAGAGCTGGATGAATACAGCAGGCCAAGCAGCATCAGAGGAGCAAGAAGGCTGACGTTTCGGGCCTAAGGGTAATCGAGAGGGTAAGACTATGTGCTAAGGAGAATGCTCTATTACAAAACCATAGCTTACAAACACTGATATTCATGACATAACATAATTATAACCAACTAGGTAATGAGAACAAACTCCAATCATGTCATTGTTTGGAGGTCTGGTGGGAGAGGAAAGAAGGGAAAGCGAGCAAGGTTCCTCACCTGATTGTGGAGCTCCCATGAATGGAAATCATTCTCATTGCATCTTCTGCTGAAGATGGATCTATAATCCACTTTAACAAGCTGCCAATCAGAGCGGTGGCTGACATGACCAAACACACTGTCAAAGACAACACAAAACAGAGGTTCGGTCAGAATCCATGGCAATAATGTTCAAAGTTTTATGACACCAAACCTAGTAACCTCTCGGTGCTTCAGATACAAACATGTTGTCAAGTTCATCGTTTTCAATGTGTGCCAAATATCCATCAATTTTATGTACAGCAAGGTCCCTCAAGATTATTGAGGTGAGCGAACAACAATGAACAATATTTTATCGTGTGCTGTCTTTTTGGAGAGACTCAATGATTGGAGGTGGAAGACAGAAATCCCAGCAGCACCATACCCAAGGCCAGTGGGCTCTGCTTGGTCAATGAGCTCAGTGGTTGAGTAGTTTACACAAACTATTGTAATATTTTATACATTTTGTTCATTTCAGGATACAAAAACATATACCAACAGAGGTAAGGTCTGAGGAAGGGACCCGAAACGTTAGCTCTGACTTTTTTCTTCACAGATGCTGCCAGAACTGCTGGGCTTTTCCAGCAACTTTGTTTTTGTTCCATATACCAACAGAAAGAGTCTATAAAGGGAATAATAAATCCATGCTTTAAATGCAGCTCTGATTTTGAGCACTGTTACAATCGGGTGAGCAGGGGTGAATCAACTCTCCTTTCTTTAACCTCCGCAGTTGGTTGCATAAAGGGTTTACATTCCTTTCATAGCTTGTGGCTATATCTTTCTGCAATTAAAAAGTCAGGAACTAATTGTTTGCTATGAGGAACCAATCATAAAATTTTCTTGAGCTAAAAGAGAATAAGTTCATTACTTGATAACCCTGAAAAAAATAAAGCTGGGGGAGCATGGTCTCTCAGTGGTTAGCACTACTGCCTCACAGCACCAGGGACCCAGGTTCAATTCCACCCTTGGACAAATATCTAAATGGAGTTTTCGCATTCTCATGTGTCTGTATGGGTTTCCTCTGGGTTTGCTGGTTTCCTCCCACTGTTCAAAGATGCGTGGATTAGGTGGATAGGCCATGCTGAATTGCCCATAGTGTCCAGGGATGTGCAAGCTAGGTGGGTTAGCCATGGGGAATGCAGGGTTACAGTAAGGGTGTGGGTCTGGGTGAGATGCTCTTCAGAGGGTCAGTGTGAACTTGATGGGCCAAGTGGCCTGCTTCCACACTGTCGGGATTCTATGATTTATGCATTTAGACTTTATACAGTCATTTTGATGCATAAAATAAAAGGGGATGTTGACCGTAGACAAAGAATATACAGTCTTTTTGGTGTCCTTGAAGCATTAAGGTTTAACCTGAGACCATGGCTGATTTGTTGGGACTGTCAGCATTGGAGAATAAATCAGTTATGTTTTAAGTTGTCAGTTTCCTGATTTTTTTTTTTATATCAGATATTTGACTGTGAGAGGGAAAGAAAATGTTCAACCTGTATGGTTAGCTGATGACCTTCGGTCATTTTAAATCAATGGTTTGACTCCATTTTAAAAATAAAATCACATTTCAAACCATTGTAGTCCTGGGTCTTAAATCAGAAAATGAAACTTAAACATCGACAAATTACTGGAAGGCACCTATTATCATGCAAAAATATCTTAGCAAGCTTGGTATCTCAAAGAAACAGAATAAAGCATATTAGACATTACACTGTCGCTAAGTAGATAACGTTCTTGTCTTTGAGTCTGTAAGTTTTGAGTTGCAAATGCCTGAGCAGAAAATAAAGCAAGGCTGACACTGCAGTGAAAGAGTGCTTCACTGTCAGGCACTATCTTTTGGATGTAATGTTTAACCAAGGTGCCAGTTACCCTCTCAGCTGGATATAGATGATCCTATAGCACAATTTCAAAGAAGGGCAGAACATCCCCATAATTCTGGATGAATTGGGCCTCAATCAATAGCATAAAAACTGATTGTTAATTGGTTAAATATAATCTAGTGATTAACTGGTCATTATCACATTGTTTTATTGTGGGAGTTTGCTGTTTGTTACGTTCTCCACACTACAGTGGCAACTATATTACCAACATAGGTCATTGATTATAAAGTCCTGTGGCATAAAGACACCATGTAAAGGGAAGTCAGCAGATTTGAATTGAATTGAATTAGCTTGATTGTCACATGTACTCACATGAGTACGACGAAATGTTTACAAGTCACCACTTATGGCACCACCTTAGGTACAAGGTACAGACTGTCAGGAAAAAAAAGTCAAAAGAAGAGAAATAAAAAGTCCAACGTTACAAACCTTCAAAAATCATAGTAATAAATTTAAAAAATAAAGAAATAAAAAGTTTAGACTCAGACTCCTGCCATCACAATATAATAAAGAACAAAAGGAAACTTTAGGAAAAGAGAATTTAAGCCAAAGGCTGACAGCACCTGTGGAAAGAAAGCGGAGTTAACATTTCCAGTTCAGTGACCCTTCTTCAGAACTGATCACTGGACTGAAAACTCTGTTTGTCTCTCCAAACATGCTGAGTTTCTCCAACAATTTCTGCTTCTGTTTTTGTTTCAGATTTCCAACATTTGCAGTTGTTATTTCATTTGATGATCTTCATAACCTGATTTGAATTTGTTAAACAATTGGGCAGAGATAAAGTGGCAAGTGAAAATGAGCAGTGACAAATACAAAGTACTGTTTCTTTTGGTTGAGTAATTAACGTAGAGGAGATCATCAACTCTGAATTATCACTAAGGGACAAAGAATGGGACAGTGAAATTACTTCTAAATTGTTAAGGAAATGGTCAGTTAAGGACAAAGTGGCCTTCTGTGGTTTACACTGGCATGGTTCAATTACCTATGGGGGAAATGCTGAGTGACAAAGCCAGCCGAATTAGTACAAGGAAGCTTTGAAGAGAGCTTGGGAATAGCATCGGTTTCAATGTCAAGGCAACACAGAGAAGCAATTAAATAGCAAGCAGAATGTTGGAATACATAATCAGAGTATTATTCAGTATAAAATACAGGAGGGATGATCTAAATGGTACAAATGACTTTTTCTCATCCTGGATTTATTTTTTACTTTCTTATGTTTTGGGAAATCTTACACAGAAGATTAAAAATGAACAGTATTTGATGAATTAAAAAGCACTTATACATGCATGAAAATTTTTTTTCAACCAGTGTCATTTAATGTCAAGAACGTGCTTCACTTAAATAAATGGATTGATGTCAATTGGGAAATGTTCGGGACAAAAATATATTGTTCGTGGTCTTTACATTCCTCTGTCGTATTTGAAATAGAATTTGATGTCTGTGAAAAGACATGCATCCACAAACAGTCAATATTCTTTGGGGCAAGTGATTAAGAATACATATACCTTCATCAGTAGATTACCAGTTGAACGAAATAGACTGAAATATAATGGACAGGCACTTAAGTTAATTTTCTTTTAACTCATTCACAGGATGTGGGTATCACTAGTTAGGCCAGCATTTATCACCCATCCCTAATTGCCTCAGGGAACAGTTAAGAGTCAACCACATTGCTGTGGGTCTGGAGTCACATGTAGGCCAGACCAGGTAAGGATGGCAGTTTAATTCCCTGAGGGGAATTAGTGAACTATTTTACCTTCCCAAAACAATCATTTCATAGTTATCATTAGATTCTTAATTCCAGATTTTTCATGAATTCAAATTCCACCATCTTTCTTGACACAGTTCAAACCCAGATCCCCAGAGCATCAGAGACAACAAGGTGCAGAGCTGGATGAACACAGCAGGCCAAGCAGCATCATAGGAGCAGGAAGGCTGACGTTTCGGGCCTAGACCCTTCATCAGAAAGGATTAGAACATCACCTGGGTCTCTGGATTAATAGTTGAAGGATAATACCATGAGGCTAACACCTCTCCATCAATCTTTTTTATTCATTTTGTGAGATGTGGACATCACTGGCTAGCCAGCACTTATTACCCCTACCTAGTTGACCTTGAGAAGGTGGTGGAGAGCTGCCTTCTTGAACCGCTGCAGTCCATCTGCTGTGGGTTGACCCACAATGTCATTAGGGAGGGAATTCCGGGATATTGACCCAGTGACAGTGAAGGAACGATGATTTATTTCCAACTCAGAATGGTGAGTGGCTTTGAGGGGACCTTGAAGGTGATGATGTTTCCATATATCTGCTGTCCTTGTCCTTCTAGGTGGAAATGGTCATGGGTTTGGAAGGTGCTGTCTGAGGATCTTTGGTGAATTAAGTGTCATTCAATTTAACAAAACTGATTTGGTAGGGACTGCATCTTAAAATTGGCACAATTTGATTAATTGGCATTATTATCTACATTGGCCCTCCTTCATAGGGCTTAGGGCAATCTGGAAATGTGCTGTTACAGACCATTCATCTGTACGCCTGCCTGATGTGGGAAAGACAAGATTTTGTCTCTCTCTCTCTCACTGTTATTTCTCACTTCACCAAATACAAGTATTGAAAAAGCAGGAAATCATTCTATTTTTGGTATGTATTTTAACGGTTTTTCTTTCAAACCTTTCAGTTAAAAACTCCAAGTGGTTGACATCTGCTTTCTTTACCAACAAGGGAATAAATATAAAATAGAGAGCACGAAAAACTTCTGAATATGTTGTCTAGTGTTTGACGAGTTGGCTTTCAATGGGACCATTTTCTTTGCCTTGTTTGAGGTTCTACTACCGTAGTGTACAGTAGCTACATCTTTTAAAACAGCTGTTCTCTCTAACTTCTGCTATAGTTAGCAAAGGATTTTGCCAGCAAAACTGCAGAAACATTTACCTCCACCGGAACTGGCCCTTTTAAGGGTTTGGGGTGGTGGGGGCAGGGCAAATCAATGTGTGATGATCCCCACTCCTAGGGCAAATCATATGAACTTATGAACAGAAGAAGGCCATTCAGCCCCTTGAGCCTGTTTGACCATTCAATGAGATCAAGGCTGGTCTGTGGCTGAACTGCTTTGGTCTATTCCCCTTAATACCTTTCTTAGCAAAATAAATTGTATCACAGATTTAAAATTAACAACTGATCCAGCATCCACTGCCACTTGTGGGAGAGACTTCCAAACATCTAATGCCTTT